TGGGCTGCTGCGACGCCGGGTACTGCCTCGGCGACGGGCACGACTGCAGGGGTTGCGATCCTGGTTCGCACGGACGCGATGATCACCGCCCCTATCTTGGCCGAGAGGGAGGTCGTCACTGGAAGATGTCTGTTTGCGCATATTCACTGGGGTGTGCCTGGAGGTTTCACAGCTGGCAGCATCTACCCCGACACGAAGGATGGTATGGGCCCAGTCAACACGGCCTACCTGTGGGAGACGGTCAAGGCTCTCGCGAGGTTCAACAGCGAGGGGGTGGACTGGCTCATTGGTGGGGATTGGAATAACCAGCCTGCTGAGCTTTTCTCGTCCAGCTGGGCTACGGCAGCCTCGGCAATACCCTTCTGCCCAAAGGTGCCGACGTGCAGGCAGGCCAATCCTGGGACTGTACTTGATTATTTTTTGGTTTCGGTAAACTTGGCAGCACGAGTAGACTCCCATGTTCGGGTTGATGAAGAGGCGACTTTATACCCTCATTGTCCAGTGCACCTGCAAGTCCTTGGACAGGACTACCCGCTATGGAGGCTCGTGCCGAATTTGCCCAAGGAACTACCACTACAGGCCCCTACTGTAGGGCCCCTACTGGATGTTCGAGGTTCCCTTACTGTTGGGAGGCTACCAGCTTCGAGGAGGCCGATGACGCGGAAGGGCTTGCTGCTTGCATGGACGACCTGATGATTGGGGTTGAAAGGGGGCTCACCAACCGCTACGACCATGTGGGGCCTGCTGCGCTGCGCTACTCAGGCCGAGCGGGGGCGACCTCCTTCACGTGGCGGAAGGTGGCCTGGCAGCCACCCCTCAAGCGCACCTACAAGCGCCCGCAGACCTTGGCCTGGAAGGTGGTGCTTCGGTGGTTTATGCACATTCAGAAGGAGCGCCACAGACTTCGTACGCTGGTCACCAGGCTTCAGATGGCTCATGTTCTTTGTGATATTGGCCCGCCCCAGTGCGCAGTTTTACTTCAGGCTTTCAGTGAAGTTGGTGGGTATCTTCGTAACATCATGCGCAGCCAAGTGGTGCTCCACCAGATGCCTGAGAACGCGCAGGCCTTCCTGAACTCTGGGCTGCAGGTTTTGGTTCCACCTGGCTTCGAGGACCTCCTGCGCTCGGTCGGGAACGAAGCCACTCGGCTGCGCAAGGAGGACCAGCGGGAATCCTACCGAGCTTGGATGCAGTTCCAGCGTAAGGCCTTTCAGTCAGGGGCCTCTATTGCTCATCGTGTCACCAAGGTGCGGCCGCTTGAGCAGGTTGTTGCATTTCAACGACGCCCTGCAGATGCTCAGCCACAGGCTCTGGCGAATCGGGACATGAGGACTTGGGTTGAGGTACGGACCCATCATGGATGCCTACCAGTCCAGCCTCCTCCTGGGGCCGCAGAGTGGCCATGTCTTCCGAAGCTTGACGCCGACACCCTGAGGAAGGTGATACTGACATTCCCTAGAAAGACCTCGACGGGGCCCTGTGCATTACACCCGCGCTTGCTGTGGCACCTGTCAGATGAGTCGATCGAGATGCTGGGCAGTTTCTTTGCAAAATGCGAGCAACTGCTCGCATGGCCTGCAGATCGGCTCTGGTCCATGATGTGTCGTATTCCCAAGGCTGATGAGGGACATCGCCTGATTGCAGTGGTCCACACCTTCCAGCGCATTTGGGGCAGGGCCCGACGTTGCATATCTCGGCAGTGGGAGCAGCAGCATCGCACGGACAATGTGTGGGGCAACAGGTCCCGCTACACCTCGTCGGACAGCGCTTTTAGCCACAACTTGGACTCGGAGGTGGTTGTGCTGAGGGGCCAGTTCAGTGCGACGGTCTTACTAGATCTCACGAAGGCGTTCGACATGGTGCGGCCGTCGCAGCTGTTTCGCGAGGGCTGCTTGCTTGGCTATCCACCGAGGATGCTGTACATGTTGCTCAAGATGTACGCCCAACCGAGGAGCCTCAAGGGGTACGGCACTTTGTCCGACATGGTGCAGGTGGACCAAGGCATTCTAGCTGGATGCACGCATGCCGTCTGTATGCTTGAATGTCTCACGTTACGTGCCATCCTACGCTTGCGTGACAAATACGCTGGAGTTGTGCCACGGGCTCTTGTTGATGATGTGTCGGCCCAGTACGTTGGGCCTGACCCCAAGGGCATACTTGCGCTTGATTTGGCTGTGCGGATATTTCAGGAGGACTCGAGAGTGCTTGGTTCTTGCTTTAATGACGAAGTCGGGGCTGGTTGCCGCGACGGTGGCTTCTCGTCAGATCTTGCGAGGCTCTAAGTTTGCACATCGGCCGTGGATGCGTAACCTTGGCCACGAGACTTTCGGCATTCGCCCTATTCGCTTGCAAGAAAAGGCCCGCGTTCGTGATCTCCAGAAGCGACGTCATCGTCTCCATCTTTTTCGCCAAGTTGCTGGTCGTAAGAACTCAGTGATCTGGCGGGCAGGGGCACAACCAGTTGTGGCTCATGGTGCTGGCGTTTCGGGCATGACTGACTCAGCTCTTGTTACGGCCAGGTCAGTTGCTGCTACAATGGTGGGGGCACCGCCGAGAGCGCACAAGACGGCTTATTTGTACTGTCAGTGGCAGGTGCGCTACGACCCGATTTTTGATGCGACGGCGGCGCTGTTGTGTCGGCTGCATTGCTTTACCTGGGATGCTCGGGTGCCCCTCAGTGCGCTACGACATGCATGGTTGAGTTTGGCGGATCGTGTTAACAACAAAGGGCTGACCTGGGCGGCGGCGCGCGGCCCACTGAGTGCTGCCTGGCTTGCACTTAACAGAATTGCCTGGACATTTCTTGGACCTCAACACTGGCGTAGCGACCAAGGTGAGGATTTTGACCTCCTGCGAGTGGCACCAGCCGACATGTAGGTATATATTGAGGAGTCGATCAAGCGGTGGCAGGTGCAGCGGCTGGTCTATCACTTGCCTGTACAGGAGGCGTCTCACGATGTCTGGGAACGAGCTCTTCGACTTGGGCCTCGTGACTTGAGGCAGGCGCCGCTTGGAGCGCTGAGGGCACTGTGGGCTGATCGGTACCCCACTGCTGCCCGCCTTGCTGCATGGGGAAAAGATGTGAAAGTGCACCGTGCAGCCTGTCAGTCAGATGATGGATCCTTCGGGCATGTTTGGCACGGATGTCCCAGCTTGTTGCAGCCCGATGAGAGCGAGGAGGCTTCTGGTGTTGAGGTTTTGTGTGAGCGACACGCGTCTCATCGGGATGCTCTGCGAGCTCTTGGACACCGCCCCCCGCTCGATCCTGAGTTTGACAGACTCTATTTTAGTTACGGTTTTCCGAGGCTCTCGATCCAGCTTCCATCCCCGCCTGAATCTTCGGTGGTTTGGGAGTGGGGCGACGTTGGGGGTGAGTGGGGGCCTGTTACTTTCGGGGATGGAAGCGCACAGCACCCCGCCGTGCCTGAAGTCAGGCGTGCGGGGTGGGCCATAGTTCAGCTCAACGACGCGCTCCTCCCTGTCCGTGCGGTGTTTGGATCCCTGGAGGGTGCTGTCCAGACCGTGGGCAGAGCGGAGAGAACTGCGCTCCTGCACGCCATGAGGCGTAATCCCAGCATGGAGGTTTTTGTTTCGGATTTGCTTTCTCTGGTTCAGGAAGGCTTGTCTTGGGACCCTGAATTGGCGTGCGGAATGAATAGATACGCTGCCATTTGGAGGAGTGTCTTTGAGTTGGCGCAGCGTAGGCCTGTCCAGGACCCTCCCCCTCACTTTGTCTGGACCCCCGCTCACCTCTCTCTCGAGGAAGTCCTGGGGCGAAAGCTGGACCCGATAACCTGGATCGGGAATGCGTGGGCCGACCTGTTTGCCAAGCTAGCTTCGACTAGGGTCATGATAGCTAGGACGACGGCCGAGGCGGTCGCAGGCGAACTCAAGTTTCATCGTGCTACCATCGATTATATTTCCTGGGCTGCTGCCAGGCTCGCCCGACTCAGACGGCGGACGTCTCTGCCCCCGCCGTCGAGTGTTTGTCGACCCCAGCCTGCACCGCAGCTCAGCATGCATGGTCATTCCTTTTTCCTCGACCCTGACTCAGGGGAGGTGAGATGCATCTCATGTTTCGTCGGGGCCTGGACCTGCAGCACCTTGGCGCATCTGTGCAACGGCCACTCCAAGTTTTGCCGACCCTCGGCACTGTCAGCCCTCAAGGGGCAGGAGTGGTTGCGGGTGCGAAATCGAGCGCGGCCTGTGAAGGCCGCGGCTGTGGTCGAAGCGGACCAGGCCCTGGTGGCTGAGGGTCTGCTGCCGCCCCTTCCTCCCCCTGGAAACTCCTCGGGAAACGAGAGAGAGGCGGCCATTTGTGAGTTTGAGTCGAGAGGTCACACGATTGAGAAGTATGATCGTGTGATGATTTGTTCCACCTGTGCTGGCTTTGTGTTGCTCCCGCATGGTGTCCCTCGTGCTCTGATGGCCAAGTGTCAGGGCGCTTCCAAGGTTCCATCAACCAGGGACAAGCAGTTGCGGAAGCTTTCCAAGGCCTCCAGAGGCCTGCACCCGTCTACGGGCGAGGTCCTCTCCTGTGCTCAGGGCCCTTCTCCCTCCTCGCCTATGTCCTTCCCTCAGGCGTCTCCCTCCATGTCATCCATGGTGGCCAGTGCCTCCCGTCCCGAGGAGGCCGCCACTACCGATGGTAAAGGGGTGGGGCGGGTGGAGCGGCGGAGCGGGCGGGGGGGGGTGTCGGATGACTCTGATTAACTCGTTTTGTTCTTTGGCGTCGGCGCTGCTGCCGTCGCCCGCTGCCGCCGCTGGCGGCCGCCTCCTGTACGCGAAGTTCAGCAAGCTCGCGCCAGGCGCGCCCTGCTGTCTCCCGCGTGCCTCCCATTCCTAGCCTAGGGTTGTTCGTTCCCGCGGACGACCCTCTGTCGGCGCCCACCTCCTCCTCCTCCTCCTCCTCCTCCTCCTCCTCCTCCTCCTCCTCCTCCTCCTCCTCCTCTTTCCCCCCCCCGAAGCGGCGCCAGCACCCTTCTCGGTTTCCCCAGAAGGCTGCTCGCGGAGGCCGGGGCGCGCGTGCAGTTCCGGGCGCACGAGGGCCAGACGCACGTCGAGTCTGGCTTCGGCCCGGGCAGGGAGGAGGCGTTGCGCTTCTTGGCAGAGGTCAGTATCGTTTCACCGACGCCCATTCCCATCCTCATCCCCTTCGAGACCCCCACCAAATTACCACCCCACTTGGGGATACACCCCTCGAAACCCAAAGGAAACGGCTTGTATCCCCAACTAGGCAGGTAAATCGGCCAGCGGGGCCCAGGCCACGCCACTGGGGATGGGGATCGGTTCAACGATACTCATGGCAGAGGTCCTGGGGAACGGCGAGGAGTGCCGCGACTGAGGCCCGGGCGGAGGGCGCTTCCCAGGGATCCAGCGCATTGAAAAAACAAGACGGAGGTGTTTCGCCATTTTCGACCTCTAGAGGCCCTCGCTGGGCCTCAGGACCGTCAAGAAACGGCTCATGAGGATGAAAAACCGGTCTTAGTGGAACTGGGTCGAGACTTCCGGGCACCTCGTCTAGAAAAAATCACGACATCGGATCTCTGGGTTTCGGGGGGGAGGAAGAGTATCAATGTCACGCCGCGAGGGCCCCCAGGGCCCCATCGGCGTGTTACTCCCTCCTTTCTTCCTTTGAAAAAGACAGCGCGCATCGACAGCACCACGCCGGTGGGGCCCTGGGGCCCTCCGCGGCGGCGTGACTTTGCTACCCTTTCGCCCCCCCCCCCCGACGCTTGACAGGCCGCAGGGTGCGGGCCTGGTCCGCCCAGAGGCGGGCGAAAAAACTGACGCGGCTCGGCCATCCCCACTCCAGCTCGGAGTCCCCGCTGCCCCTTCCCCCCCCCCCGGGTCCTCCTCCACGACCCCCGCCGACGCGACCACACGACCACCGATGGGGGGCTCCGGCCGAGGGCCCCCGCCCGGCTCCGGTGGGGCGCGCTTGTGGCTCGCGCCCGCCTCGTCGCCCCGGGCCCCGGGCGTTGTGATGTCGTTCGCGGCGTGGGCAGCCAGAGGTCTGGGCCTTGGCCCTGGACCTGGGTTCCCAGACATGATCGCACCGTGAACAAAGATCAGGAGGCCAAGTTCGGCCTCGGGGGGCCCTCGACGGGCCTCGGGGACCGTCAGGGAGCAACTTGCAGGATGAAAAAACGGTCCTGGGGAACGGGGCGGGACTTCCAGGGACCCCGCATCGAAAAAAACAGGACGTCGCATGTCTGGGTTTCCATCCCGAGCCGTTCTGGTCGACGGCCCCGCAGCCCGGTGAAGGCCCCCGGGTGCCGACAATCGTCGGAAACGTCCCGCCGTGGTCCGCTTCACGCCGCGAGGGGGCCATGGTTTTCGCCCTCCTCCAGTGGTGCTCTCTCTCTCTCTCTCTCTCTCTCTCTCTGGCGGCTCCTGGAGCCGGCGCACGGCTGCCCAGAGCCTTGGCTACTACACTGGCGAGCCCAGACATCATGCGACGTGCTGGTTTTATGGATACGGGGCCCCTGGAAGTCCCAAATCCTTTCCCTGGGACCGGTTGTTTATCCTGAGTGGTTTTTGACGGTCCCGAGGCCCGGCGAGGGCCCCCCGAGGCCGAAGTTGGCCAGAAACCTCCCGTGCCGATTCGCTTTTCGACGCGACCCTGCCTGGGATGTAGGCTGCACGTTCCGAGCGCTTCACCTGCCCGCTCCCCCCTTCGCCCTCCACGGCGTGACTCTGCCACCTCGCACCCCGCTGCTCCCGCCGTGGGGTCGCCGGCGTCGCGGCGCCAAAGTTCGATGTCTCCCCGGACCCCCGACGCCCACACGTGCTTCGGGCACGTGCCCAAGCATGGGCATGTTTCGGCCTCGGGGGGCCTTCGCTGGGCCTCGGGACCGTCAGCAAGCGACTCAGGATGAAAAACTGGTCCCCGGGAACGGGGCGGGATTTCCAGGGACCCCGCATCGAAAAAATCAGGACGTCGCATGTCTGGGACGCCCACTCGCGCTTCTGACACGTGTGGACGGGACGCCCCCGACCCAGACGGGGCACGGGGTTGGAGGAGGAGGGGCGAAGAAAAGATCGGACCGCCTGATCGTCTGGCACCTTCCGCGGTGGTTCGCCCCGAGGGAGGCGGGGAATGCCGACGCCCTCCGCGGGACGGCGTCCCCGGCATGCGCGTCCTCGTGCTCCAGGGCTGGCATTCTGTTGGCGTGCGGTGTGCGACTCTCTGCCCCGACCCCCACGCCCGCGAGGCCCGCACTCTGTTGTTGGCGTCGCGGCCACGCGCGCGGCGGTCGAAGAGGCGCGCGCCGCGCACTTGCGCGGCACACGCAGCGGGGAGGCGCTGGATCCGCCCATCGGGGGTCCACGGCAGCCCCCGCATGCGCACGCGCACGGATGCCGCGACGCGGGCTCCACGAAGAGTGTGCAGTGCGCGCAGTATGCCCAGTTGCACCCTGTCGGCCTGGCCAAGAGCTGCCCAGCGAAGAAGCCGGGTGTTGTCTTGGACAAGATGGGCAAGGAGCGGCGGAGCCGCTTCGAGCGTGGGCTCCACCCCAGAACTGGGAGGAAGGAGGTCGTCCTTGAGTGCTCGGCCCTCAAGGATCTCGGGTTCTTCATTCACGAGAGTGAGAACTGTGCGTAGTGCGCCTCTGCAGCTGGCACGCTCGGTGTCCACAGGGGGGGCACAACAAAAACACGGTTTTCTTGTTCCTTCGAGGCGCGAGAGCTCTGGCCTTTCGCCCCCCGAAACACAAAACACCACCAAAAAGGGCGCGCGGCACATAGCTCGTAACACATGCGCTCACAGACCGAGTCACACACCACGCCAAGCACACAGCTCACAGGGCGAACGTCATGACACGCACTACGCACAACACGCACAACACGCGCCCAGGGTGCCCACAGGGTTCTGGAGGAGGCCCCCGCGGCCTCTGGAGCACAACTTGCGAAGCCCAGGGGGCCCCAGGGGCTTCAGAAATGGTGCGACATGCTAGGGAGCATGGGCCAGGATCGGCGGCGAACGAGGGGGTGAGTGAGAAGGAGAAGGCCTTCCCAGAAGGCGGCGGGACTTCTCAGAAGCCCTCGCGCCTTCTGAGAGGTTGTTTGTGTCTTCGGGGAAGGCCTAGAACACTTCTCAGAAGGCTGGGGATCTTCCGAGCCTTCTGAGAAGGCCAGCCCATTCTCACTTCCCCACCGGGCGCGCCGCCTATACAGGAACACGCTCAGCAACCCTTCGACCTAAGCCCGGTCACAACGATGTTCTTTCCAGGGCCCGCTCTTCGGCCCATGGGCTGTTTCGGTTCTCGCGGCCCCCGCGCGCGCCCGGAAGCGACCTCCGAGCGCCGAAGTTTAAGCGCAAATGCGGTGGTCTCAGCTCTTGTAGCACAGGATCCGAGGCTGGAATTTACATATGACCACCGCCTGGAGGGTCAATTTTGGGGACCTCGGCAAGCGGTGGATGTGGACATATTCGGGCCCCCTCGGGCCAAAATACATCCATATCCACCGCCCGCTGGGGCACCAGGACGTCCTCGCCAAGGCGCCGGAGGCTTGGACTGCAGTCCAGACCGGCCTCGAGGACGAACCGTGGAAGCAAGGCACCCGTGCGTCCTTCGATTCTCGGCCTCCTGTGCAAGCCACCCTCGGCGTCGAGGGTTCCCTGCCGTCTTGGTGCGTTCCCTACGCTTGCACCTTTGCAAAGCACCCCATCTTGTCTTGTTCCCGGCGCCTTGCCTCTGGCAACTCGCCAAAACCCTCAACCCGGAACCCTATAGGCCTGCGACGTGCTGCTCAGCATTCCGCTCATCACACCTCCACCTGGCCCGCCAGCACGTGGCCCGCGAAAGGGTCTCAAGATTCCCCCGACGGCTTCCTGGGGCCCCGCAGAAGCACTGGGGCACGTCGGGGAGCTCCAAGTCCGCCGACAAACGTGCCCCCTAGATTCCCCAAGCCGTGCTTGCGCGTAGGAGTTCTTATTTATTTCTTTTCGAAGGAACTGGACCAGCGTGGTGGTTTGGCGGCCATGGTGTCGCCGTCGCCGCCCCGTCGCCGCTTCGTCGCTGCCCGTCGTCTGGGCCAGCGTGGCGATTTGGCGGCCATGTTGTCGCCGCCGCTGGCCCGTCGCCGCTTCGTCGCCGCCCGTCGTCTGGGCCCGTGTGTCGGTATGGCGGCTATGTTGTCGCCGTCGCCGCTTCGTAGCCGCCCTCGAATGCATACATCGCGCATGGATTGCACAACATATACATATAACGGGGGACCGGGTCCGGGGCCCCAGGACCGGGACCACGACTGCAAATATGGGGCCTGGCGCGCCGGCCCGCCTTTGGGAGGCATAAAATCGCCCCGGGGAGCCCTCAGACAGCAATCCCGGCAGCCCCAGACGGTCTCGAGACACCCCCAAGACGCCGTCTAGGGGACTCTGGCGACGCACGATACGGTTTAAACTGCCCCGGAGGCCCCCAAGACGCCCCGAGAGGCCGTTAAGATGCCGCCCAAGAGCGCCCAAGAGGGGCCCAAGAGAGGGAACGTGAACTGAAAAATCAAGCTCTCCGCCCCAAGATGCCCTTAAGAGGCCCCAAGAGGCCCCAGGGAAGCCCCCAAGAGGCCCCACGAGGCCCCCAAGAGATCGCACGATGAGTTTTAAACTGCCCCAGAGGCCCCCAAGATGCCCTCAAGAGGCCTTTAGGATGCCGCCCAAAAGCGCCCAAGAAGGCAAAATCGTTGATATTCATTGTTTGTTTCTCAATATTTGTATGCATTCTCGCTGTTTCCTGCTTCCGGCGCCAAAGCACCGCCCAAGAGGCTCCCAAAACCGCTCCAAGACGCCCCAAGAGGCCCCCCAAGAGGGCCCCAAGACGGCCCAAGAGAGCCCCGAGACGGCCCCAGAGCCGCCCAAGACGGCGCAAGAGGGTCCCATGAAGGACCCAAAAGGGGCCCAAGAGAGGGAACGCGAACTCAAAAATCAAGCTCTACGCCCCAAGATGCCCTCAAGAGGCCCCAAGAGGCCCCCAGGGAGCCCCCAAGAGGCCTCACGAGGCCCCCAAGAGGTCGCACGATGAGTTTTAAACTGCCCCGGAGGCCCTTAAGACTCCCCCAAGAGGCCTTTAGGATGCCGCCCAAAAGCGCCCCAGAAGGCAAGATCGTTGATATTCATTGTTTTTGTTGAATTAGCTTTCTGCATTCTTGCCGTCTCGTGTTTCCGGCGCTAAAGCACCGCCCAAGAGGGTCCCAAAACCGCTCCAAGACGCCCCAAGAGGCCCCCAAGAGGGCCCCAAGACGGCCCAAGAGAGCCCCGAGACGGCCCCAGAGCCGCACAAGACGGCGCAAGAAGCACCGCCCAAGAGGCTCCCCCAGCCGCTCCCAGACGGCCCCAAGACG